TCTGCGGCGCCGCTGGGTGCACAAGCAGCAGCGCGCTGCAGCGCGTGCGCCCAATGCACCTCAACAGCAGGGCCGCTGACCAGGTGGATGGGGCAAACAACACAATGCATCACAAACATTCACAGACACAATCACACACGGACATGCACACACACGCACATGTACAGCAGCCTCTTGGTGACCGCAGGGCGTGGGGTGTAGCGCTCTGCAGCCATGCCAGGATCCGCCACGTGGAGGCGGGCTGCAATTGGATCCCAATCAAGTGCGCGGCCCCGTGTGCAGTTGCACAACAGGGACACACGGCCCGCTCGGGCAGGTCAGGGCTAGGCTCTGGTTTAGACGAATGCGTTAAACCAGGCCCCCCCACAGCCGGTCCGCGCGATGGGGATGACAGTATGCTGTGCATCCCCAAAGCGGGCGGCCCCCGCCGGATGGTACAGCCCCTTGCGGCAGCCGCCAGGAATAACAAACCGTGTGGGTCGCCGCGTCTCTGCGGCGCCGCTGGGTGCACAAGCAGCAGCGCGCTGCAGCGCGTGCGCCCAATGCACCTCAACAGCAGCGCCGCCGACCAGGTGGGTGGGCCTGCAGGGGCGACATGGAAGTGAGGCATCAAATCAAGCGCTCTTCGCGCGATGGAATCCATTTACCGGGCGGAGGGGTAGAAGAAGTGCAGTAGCTCGGACGTGGTGTTGTCCACGAAGGTGAAAGACAGGTACTGTTTGGTGTGTTGGAGGAATGAATGGAAAATAACGAAACTTTATCCAGGGGCGCGTTTTATGCTGGCTCAGTGGAATCGAAAGGGCCGTTTTCGCCCGCCCAGTCAAAGAGTCAAGAACGGAGGACTGCGTGTCCCGGTCAACCGAGATGTGAGCACAGTTTAGGATCAAAATAGGGCATCAAAGCAAAAAACGACAATGGTCGTGAATTCACGGGCCACAGGGCTCAGGGACGACCGCTGCGCCGCACTGCTGCATGGCAGTCACTGCTGCCGTGACAACACTGCGTCCAGACAAGATAGGCCTGTCTCTGACAGTTTTTTGTAGTTGGCAGGTTCAGTTGCATGTGTGGATCTGCGTGCCACCAACAATACCATGTGCATGTGTGCAGCGCTGGGGATGACCATTAGAAGAGAACCCTTTGTGCTGAGCCGCGCCTGTTGTGGCCAGTGCCGACGCATCAAAGCAGCGTCCCACGACAAGGTGGTGCCGAGGTATTCCACCAACAAGCACGGAGTCACTGCGCAATCTGTGCCCTGCGTGTGACCCCCCTATGCAAGGTTTTCTGCTGTGCACGTGCAATGTATGGAGTTCGACTGAGTGGATTGCGACAAGTACCCACGGCCATGCATTTGCGCACACCCCCCCTACGACCAGCACACCCTAGGAGCAGCAAGCAGTTGAACCGCTCCTGTCCAAGCGAGGCACCCTCTCTGAAGCTGTTGAAGTTGCAGCCGTGCTGCTTTGTACGCAGCACTTTCCTGGGCAGCAGCATCCGCCAGAAATGCTGCAAGCACTGCCGATTGGTGGCCTGGATGGCTGGACTGCGGTCGCCCAGTGATTGGAAGCAGGCTGCTGGGCGGCACACACAGACGGCCCGATCAAGGTCAATCATTTCAAGCAAGGTACTGATGCGATATTATTTTCGTTGTACCACGATTTTCTATCGGCTGCATCGCAGCAGGCACAGCGGCTGCACTCTTCTCGCTAGCTGCCCGTAGTTCTGCCTTGATCCGGACGTCTGCGACCTGGTTTAGGACTGATTCAGCCGTGACGATCGAGCAGAGCTGTTTGTGTTTGATCCGCCGCGACATTGCCGCGTTTTTGCCGGCATGGATCAGCAAGCAGACCCTATGTCTCCCAGCAGCCAGCAAGAAATGGACGACAAACGTCACGCCGAGGAGGCTGACCCATCGCCTGGTGAGATGCTGGGACATGGCGCCCTCTGACAAGCCTGCACTTGATGGCAACTGTATCTCCTCAACCAACCCCTCGGCACACTTGCTGCTGGCAGAGGTGGAGGGGACTCCCTCCACCAAGCACCGAGACAAGGCAGTGCGTACAGACAAGGCCAAGGACGGCATCGCGCGCCGGCTGCCGCTGGGTGCCGATGCTGACGAGGACGCCAGTGCTGCTGCAAGCGGCGCCACGGCGGCCGCGCAGGCGGCGGGCGACGGCGACCACGCCTCTGGCGCAGGCGACAGCAGCAGCGCCAGCGGTTCTGTAGCGGCCGCCCTCATGGCTGCTGCGGCGGCGGGGGCAGATACGCAGCTGCTGAATATGCTGGCGGAGCCCTGGATCGTGGCGGAGCTCATCGGTGTGCTTGAGGAGCGCAACCTTGTTGGGAACCTGCAGCTGCAGGTCGCACACGTGCGCGGGGCCCCGCGCTTATAACGTTGTATAGGCCGGCGTGTCATGATGGGTACGTCAGCCAATTGCCAGGCGAAAACCCGCCATTGCAGCCGGTGAAGCGGCGGCTTGCTTGCCCGTCTGCATGCTACAACCTCGGACGAATGCGCCTGAGCGACCCCTAGTCAAAACAGTGGGCTGAGTCCCCCAATCACCCCCTTCCTTGCCCTCGCGTGACGCTGTGCCGCTTTTGCGCCCTTCCTGCGCTATGCAGATCCTCCAGACCAACGTGCAGACATCCATAAACGCAGCGCTCAGCGTCATGGCGTTTCTCAAGCGCACCGGCGTCATCACAGTGTCAACCGGCCCGCTACACCACCAGGGCGGCGGCGGCCGCGGCCTCTTCGCCTTCAGGATTCCGCCAGGGGTGGGTGCACAGGATGGGACAGTCACATGCCGGGAGGCCTGCCAATGGTTGAATAAGCATATTCTCTGGGAGGGGAGAGAAACAATGCCACCGCAACATGATTGCAGCCAGGTCATGCAGCCAGGTTCAGCATCAATACTCTTTGCATGGTGCTAAAAATGCTCATGGGTCCACGGCCGTGCCCGCCATGACTTACTGTACCCCCTGCCTCATGGAAGCCTGCAACCAAGCACTCCCTTTGCACGCTCCGCATCACTGCCTAAACCTCTATGTGGACCCTTACCCCGCAGGTCCTGGACTGCCTGCCCAACGGCCAGGACTGTGTGGTCGTCACCTGCGGGGGCCTCGGCATGGACGCCTCTGCAAACAGGCGCGCGGTGTCGCTGCTGCTCCTGCACGTGCTGGACCTGCTGCCGCGGGGCCGGTTTGCTGATGTCACCGCTGTGCGAGAGGCCGCGGCCGACGAGGCCATGGCGCGCCGCGCGCCCGGCGCGGAGGGCCTCGGCACTGCGGCGGCGGGCGCGATGGCCGCGCTGCGGGCCGCTGCGGAGGCGGCGGCAGCAGCCCCCAGGTTGCAGCAGCCGCCCGCCCCACGCACGCTGACGCGGGAGGCTTTGGTGGTAGCGCTGGGGCTGGCGGTGGTGGTGGCCGGCGAGGAGGTGGAGAAGCGCGCAATGGTGGCTGCGAGGCCGCTGGTGCGCGCGCCGCAGGGCCCGGCCGTGCGGCCCGAGGGTAAGGTGAAGGCCCTCATGGACTCCCTCCTTAAGGGTTTGACCTCGCAGGAGAGGCGCACGCGGTCGGACCACCTGCGACTCGCGGTGGGCGGGGGGGGGGGGGGGCACAAACAGTCGCATGGGTG